CTTCAAGTTTATAGTTTTATTTTTATATAATTAAAACATTTTTTCTTCAGTCAATAGATAAATTCACTTATTTGAATGAAGAGTGAGTGATAGCTCCTGAAACATGTTGTTTTTTTCAGAAAACCTTTGATTTTCTTGAATATTGTTTTTCAGACTCGACTCAATTGTCCAATGAAGGTAAATTTAATAATCGTACTGGTGCTAGAAATACTTCATTTGGTGGTAATACTGAAGATCGTCCTATAACCCCAATGCGGGGAACTTATAAACAACTAGCTGAAGGATTTGATGAAGGTGATTCAAAATATTATAATAATCAATTTAATGATCATAGTCCAACACGTGAACGAGAAACAAATGAGACAACATCAAAAACTCGACGAGCAATGTCTGGCTCACAACGCTCAACAATGAATTCATTGAGTCAAACTATGGGTCCAAATCATCCAGCTAATTTTAATAAAGAAAGAAAATCAAAGTCACCATCAAGAACGATTGGTAGTGCAACAAGACAAAAGACTTCATTAAATTTACCCATTGATGATAGTAAATCTAATTAATAATTAAATCGATAGAGCGAAATCATTTTATATTTTAGCTAGTGCTACATTAAGAGATGATCCAACTAAAGATGCATTTGGTCGATTCGCAAAAGATGCAAAAATAAATGCGTTACGAACGTATGTGAGATTTTGATCTTGTTCTATAGAATTATTTTATCATTTCAGAAAAGCTATACAATTGTTGGGTGAATCTACATTTGAAAAAGTTTATGACTATTTGGTTCAACAACGTACAGCACAAAAAACAAATCCTAATTTTGATGAAGCACAAATTACTGAAGGTCTTAAAGCATTTGTTAAAAAACCGGCTGATTGTTTTCTTGTTGATCAACTTGTATTTCTTGAACTTTAACAAAGTTAATAAGTTTCATTTATATGTGCCTATTTTATATCATCATCTTTTAATTTTTTTTTAAATAGTCAAAACAAAAGAAATATTTCCTTTATACTATTCATGATTATATTTTATTTTTAACGAAAAGAAAAAAAACCAAATGTTCCTATTCTGTTCTGCTTTCTTCTTCCTTGTCTAGACATGATCATATGAAAAATATGTGATATTAACAAAAAAAAAATATTTCGAAAGATAAATAATAGAAATGTTGCATGAGAACATGAAAATCACAACGAAAAAGAAAGCTTCTATTAATGAAACAAACGAATAAATTAATATAAATTTATCACCTCTTTGTTCAAAATAAAACATGAATTTTTTTTGTTTTTATATTATCTTATTTCTCCTGAATAAAGTTGTTAGTGCAATTCCTGTGGGATTAAAACGTGAAACATGATTTAGTTATTGTTACTGATCACAGGGACATTGTTTTGTTTCATTTATTTTAGGACACTTGTCTCTACTATCCTTTTACTTAATCCTCATTAAATGTAAGAAGGAAATAGTTCATACATTATAGCGAGATTTATTGATATACCGTCTTTAATCGTATATCAAAGATGTCTGTCACTGTCTCTAACGTTTCGATAGATGTGTGTGCTACATCTGTGGAGGAGAAGGGTCTAAATGTGTACCTCTATATTTCAATGTATGTTTCTGATTGTTGTTAACGAAGCATCTGACAGATCGAAGTCTATCATAACGTTGATCAAAGTATTGAAATTTTTCTCATGAGAAATTCCTCTGAAATTCTGAAAAGAGAAGATAATATCCTTAGAGACATAGATTGGCTTCTATTTTTTCATTAATGAAATTGAATTAAGTCTACTTTTATATTTCCTAAAATTTGTACGGTAAAATAAAACGATTCTTCTCCATTTGGTTGAACTGTTACTTACATGCTATAATGGATATAATCTATTATCACTAATAAGATAGAGTCTTGTATAGATTGAACTTTTTGATTCTGCATCGATACAATCAAACAAGAACTCAAAAATCTAATTCATATTATATTCCGTATTTTCTTTGAAAATGATTATCTGCAAAGAAATTGTAATTTCGTTTGACCTACAAAATATGTATCGGAATGATATCAATAAATTTCACTAGTTCTAAAACAATGAAAGATATTATTATTTGTAAATGTATTGTAACAATAGTTTTCGAAATTTTATGCAATTTATTGAATCGACACACTACTGTGCAATTGAAGGATATCAGATGTTATAACTGCAACTTTTATAAGAAATTATAATCACATTATTGCATTCAGTTAGTTTTCAAATATATTCACTATAATTATATATGACTTAACACGGATAATATGAATCTTGACCTTTATCTCTTATTTATAAACACATACTAAAATCAAAACAAGAAATAAAACAATTCTTTATATCGGTCTTCTTTTAAAGGATCTTGTTAGGTTGAAAACCATTTTCTTTGTTTGTCTTTAAACATGTCTACAAAAAAGAACGATAAAATGATCAACATTTATCATATTACTGTTGCATCAAATGATATGCATTATTATTTTTGAAAACTTTAATAAACAAATAGGATATCATTTCTATAGTTCTTTAGTATTATCTACAGAAATAACATTTGGAATATTACAATTATTTCGAAGTATAGTATTATAACGATCTAATTAGGCTTCAATCGTTTTGTGTATATGCTGAAGAAGAATAGTAGATTGTAAAATTATGTTGAAATTCTCCGGGAATCATCGATACAACTTATACAAATAATCATATGAACGAGTAGCTTTAGGACATATTAATTTTTCAATCAATCCTAGAAAAAGTCATAAAAAAAAAACGATAGATTGATCTTGGAGAGAGGAACTGGACACATCTGTTAATGTTTTTTTCCGTACGAGTCAGCAATATCTGATTATTGTTATGATGTTCTTCTCGAGTTAGAATGAATCATAAAATTTCGCTTTCATGTTAAAAGGTAGAGAGTTTTGCGTAGATCTTATTGATATATTCTCTTCAAAATATGCATTTGTTGTTGTCTTTCAGTAGCAAAGGTACTGATTTATCGGAATAAAATGTCGTATTCCTTTATTAAAGTATTTTACAAACGCTATTTAACCGTAGCATGAAAAAGTAACAGAAACGTATCGACTTTTAAAGACAGAACACCAAAGATTCAAAAAAGAATTTGTGATTTAAAATATTGTTGGCAAAAAATGTCTCATTGCCAACTTTAGATGCCTTGTTATGTTCACAAAAGATCTCAATCTGATCATTAGGTGATAAAAGCACTTGAGCTCAGGTAAGGAAGAACATTTTGTAGAGCTTGAGATTCTGCAGTAAGTGATACTACAGAAATATTTTATGTAAATCGAATTTTCAAGAATATTATCGACGAAAAATACAGCTCCGGTGGGGGAAGTTGTGTCATGTTATTGAAGCAGAAACAATTACACTTATTAAAAGCAAACAAATCTCTAGATACATTAAAAAATTTTACATCTCTTACTATCAAAAATAAACTTTTGAACTACAATTAACTGTGTAAAAAAAATTGCCTTTCAGCATTGTTTCATTTAGCAGTGGAATAAATGATGTTTTAGTAGCGTCCAGTACTTGTAATACTACAGATGAAAGACAAATGCTTATTTTGAAAAGAGTATTATCAATAAAATCTAGATAAAACTTTCTATCTATTAGGATCATAATGAACCTTTCTGATCCAATCTGATTCGAGAAATGAGTCTAGCAAAAATCGGAAAATTCTACTGCGCATCCATTATCCTATTATTTCAAAAATATATTCATATTTTGTAGTAGATCGTAATCTTTTTTTTCCAAATTATTGATGTCTTGAAATTGCAGTAAAAAGATGTACATAAACGATGAAAATTTAAAAAAAGACGAATCAATCAAAGTTTTCTCTAGGATAACAATGAAGAATAGCTTTTGCTTGTAGTTCAACAATAATAACATGAAAATACAGATGATAATTATTCCGTGTTCAGAACATGACACGTCATTATATTCATCAACATTCTTTTTTGATATGTCATTATTCAATCAGTTCATATATGATTTTATTAATAAACTTATTCAATCGAACAATCTCTGATTTCTACAAATCGATTCTACATTAGTATAATCGAAATGGGTTGAAATTAATATAATTCAATTTTAATTGAAGAAAAAAGTTGTTAGCGCAATCCCTGTAGGACTAAAGTGTGATACATGATGTAATTGCTCTTGTTAATCGTAGAAGATTGTTTTAGTATGTCTATTTTAGGACATACTACTTCGCCATCTTTGTACTCAATCCTGTAGGAATACAATAAGAAAATAATTAATATACGATTAAAAGACGTCATTGATATACAGTCTGTTATCGTATATTAGCGATTGTTACGATCTATGATGGTCTCTGGCTAATATCTATCCCGGTCCATGATAGTCTCTGGCTAATATCTATCACAGTCCATGATAGTCTCTGGCTAATATCTATCACGGTCCATGATAGTCTCTGGCTAGCACCTATAATGATCTACGGAGGAAGCAGCTTCACACTTCTACTCTTATTGTTTATTTAATACTCTTTTAGATTGTGTCTCACAATGAAAAATATGATGAAGAAGAAAAGTGTTAATTATTAATTAACATATAAATATAACAAATATTATATATTTACATATCATTCGTATAAGTCTTAACGCTTAGAATTTCATTAGATTTTTATTTATTCACTGTCAATCTAATAAACATACATTAGAATGAAGGATATAAAGATTTATAGTACTTTTTAGTAATTCTTATTCGTCTTTTATTGTATATATAGCAAATAAAAAAGAAAATGAAAAATCGACATTTACACACAAGTTGTTTTAGTAGTTCCATGTCAGTCAATGAGAATAAAGAACGAGCTTAGAGACAGAGACAAATAGTTTTATAACGATTCGTTATCATTTTTTCTTTTTTGCTTTCATTCTGTGAATAACTAATAAAACAATTCCTTACATTGAAATTAATCTCTCTAATACAAAATAATATACAATTATTTATCATATGAATCTATCAAATATATTAGATAATAATAATAATAATAATAATACATTTTTAATAACAACATTACAGCCAACTCAAAAATCTTATGTAGAAAATCCATTTAATTCATGGTATATTGGTGGTATTTTGTTTTTATGTACTTTCCTGTCGGTACTTCTTTGTGCGAATTATTATCATAAAAATTATTGTCAAATATGTTTAACACGTTTAATACCCAATCTTTATAGAACACAAACATCAGAATCATCTTCTCCTCATTCTTTTGTAAATCGTGTAGTCGATCCAGTTTTCATTTAATATAAATTAACAAGATCAAAAACAAGGTTAGATTTGATGTTTTACATATGAATGTATTTGTGTAGATGAACATCGTTAATACACATGAGAATTTTGTTTGTGTGTTAGAATAGTTCGATAACATAGCATAGTAAACAATATTGAATATTTTTTTAATACTCTCGAGAACAAACAAAAATTTTTTTTCGAATGAGATGATGAAATAAAACGAATGAATAGCCAAGGCATAACTTCTATAAAATGTTGGTGTCAACATTTTTTAAATATTTTTGTTTGCGTTCATAGTTTTAGAGTAGCTTTTTTTTCAAAAGATGAACATTCAGTTCTTTTCAAAATCCTTTACAACTGATTTATATATACGTAGGATAATAATTGTTTTGAAGCCTTACTATGACCTAAAAAGCATGAAACATGAACCAACTTAAGAGTGCGAAATATAACGCTTTTGCGTTCATGTTTTCTAGGGTTGCCCTATAGTGACAAAGTATAAGATATAATTATTTTCTAGGATTTCATAAATCGTTTCTTCTAGATAATATTTAACATTTTCAAAAGCAAACCATTTACGGAAAAAAGAGGCATAATTTGTTTGTCTTGTTTTATTTTTAAAAGCATACCGATCATTAGAGTCCCATGAATTCCAAAATTTTAGGACCTAAACTTAAGTCGCACTCTTAATTGCAATGAAAATCTGAGCTTTCAAATCATCACTAAGATTCGAGATACTTTTAATTGATACTTTGTATTCAGCTACTAAGACAACGTACACATTTCTCACATAGTTTTCACGATGATCTTATAATAGCCAAGTCTTAGTGAACTCTTACTTTTCACGTGTAACCTCTTGAATCAGTATCAAATACAAACCTGGAGCTGGTAGAATCTGGGTTCGAGTGCAACTCGACGAACTCAAGTACTTGTCTACATAAATTTTGCATTGGTCTCAACAGAATGAATATTTACTAGACCGAGTATGATTTCTCAGTACAACAGTTCTATCGATTTCAATTCTATTGTGCAATAGTGTGAAACTCTACCTTACTTCTAAACGAAAAACACTTCATATTGACCAAATTCTCATGAAAAGTCCTACTATGTAAAGTGCAGATTTTTTTTCATAACACTCGATATTCTACGAATATGACTATTTGAGATGTTCTGCTACATGCACTATTAGAGAAAACACTCAAAAATTTACCTATGTTGTTAATCTGAAGCTATTAAACAATGTTTAACTTTTCAATAAAAGAAGAAAGGAACTCCATTCAGAAAAAAGTGCTTTAGAAGTCGTTGACATTTCATCTGTGTAGTATTGCGTCTAGGATTTTTTAAATTTCTGCATATATGAAAATCACAAAATATTAATGAAACTCTGACACCAACATTTATTTCAGGTTAATCATTATATTTCTATAAGAATCTATTCAAATAACGTTGATTTTCTATGTCTGACTATTATTCAATTCATTAGCGACTATTTGGTAAAAATTTAATACATTCACTAAATAGTTTACGATTATTGATCACGAGTTGCAATTATGAAGAATATGAACTTACACTTGAAATACTGAAACCACTTGGCTTCTTCATTTTTCTATGTCACTATTCAGGATTTTGCGTCCTTAGAATAAATACTTAAGATCACAAAGTGAAATTAAAACAATTTAAATATGACTTATCTTCATATCAAACCTAGAGTTTGTAGAATTCACATATATTTTTGAAGAAAATAGTGATTTGAAATTCTGAGACGCTGCTCCCGCCCTGTTACAAAGTTAGATACTAAGGATAATAAGTGTCAGATTCTTTACTCAGGGTACTTTAGCGACGAACAAAGATGCTGAATGGCATAACTAACAAGACTTGGACTGTTCTAGAGCATTCTTAAGTCTTTCTTGAAACTTAAATGACTGAAATACATTTGTTAATGTTTTAAATAGTGCCATACGATCAACATCAAAATAGAAAAACTTTCTATGTAAAATGCAGAAATAAATAAAACGGATTAGTTCTCTTGGTAAGCTGCTATAGTCTGTGAGAGATTCTTCATTTTACGTATTTTTTATTAGCCTAATAATGCTAAAAAGTACATATGAGTTCTACGTTTCTTCCTCAAAAGGAGCTTCACTAACAAGCTTTTTTTCTAGTCTTCAACAAATACAAACATAATATCAAAATATCTCTTATATTAGTTAATTCTTGTCAATTACTATATTTACACTTGATTAATTTACATATCGATTCTACTGTTCGCCAGTAGTGCAGTTATGACTTGCCTACTACTTTACATAATAGTTGTTCTCTCTGATTATTTGCTAAAAATGCAGCTTGACATAAATGTACTTATCTATTAGTTCTATATCATTTTATTTCATTTATGACAAAATGCTTTTTTAGAATCATTATTTTCTTCTCTTGTTAGATATTAGAATAAACTTATGAAAGAATATTATAAATGCAAATTTCTTCTTTTTTTGTAAACCTGTTACATTTTTTTGAATATTGACAATTAAGAATTAGTGTCATCGACTAATAAGAACATGGAAAGAAAAGACACAGGACATAATCAGTTTGAAAGGTGTTATTTGTGAAAGAAAACCATTGATGCAATAGAACAAGTCCTAAATAATGCAAAAGAAGATTATAAACTATGTTTTCGATGTATAAACATTGTAAATCTATTCTCATATGAATTAGTTTAAGATATATTAGTATTTGAATATGATAGTTTATTACTCAAAAAAGTTTTTTTTTTCTTTTCTAGATTCGATAAATTTACGTGAAATAGCCGCGAAATTTATTGTAACACATTATATGCAATTATTGATAGTTAGTGGCAATGGATGAATCAAACTTTTTCTATTGAAACAACAATAAATAACACCATTGTTCTTGTTCATCATCATCGAGAAAGAATGATCGACGTATAATATGAAATTTTTTTCTTAATATCATGGATAAATAAAATTTTGAAAATATCAGACAGATATTTATTTTAGAAAGATTAATAATGTTAATCAAATACCATAGAAGTAGATATTTTGTTTCAAAAAGATCCTAGTAATCTGAAAGGTGGTTTTTCCAATTCTATTAAACATGGTTTTTAAATTAAGATAACGAAGGATATTAAGATATGAATGAATTGATTCAAGTTTGTACGACATCTCTTTCTATTTAGTATATTTAATCTGTTATCCTAACCAATAAATCCCTATGTAATGAATCACAGGTGTCATCGTCGTTTTTTTTTGTTAGATTAATGACAAAAAAAACAATGTATCCGATTTCATGTGTCCAGACATTGGTTATTGATTGTTCTGATTCTGTTTTTTTTTTTGCTTTCGAAGCACTGAAATTTCTTTCGCTCTATCTGTATAGAAGCACAGATTTTGTTTTTAATACACTTGTGCATGCTTCTACTTGAGAATAAGAATGTTTATTCAATTTCATGTTTAAGATAAAATACATTTCTTTTTATTTAACCAACCAATTCGATAGTTACAAAAGTGTTTGTATGTTTGTTTTTGAGAAAAATATTATTGATGTGTAGAATAGTGAAAAAATCGTTATTTTTTGTACTCATTCTTTCAGAAGAGTTATAAGCAATGGCAACAAATACACATTATCGTATTATTGGTGATATAAAAGTTAAAAATAAAGCATCAACAAATGGAATAAGTAAAGGAAAAAAAGTTGATATATCCTACGATAAAAAGGAAACAAATTTCAATGATATTGCTATCATTCAAAGGAATCAACCGCTTACATCTGATGCACCTTACTTTGTTGTCGAAGTTCTTAAATGTGGTAAGAAGCTTATAGATTAGAATTGAATAAAAATACTAAAAAAACAAACACTTTAGATCCGAATGCTATAATATCAGTTGGTATTGCATCATCAGATATTGATAAACATGCGGGTTAATATTATTATTTATTGATCATAAAACTTGTTTTTTTTCTAAATTAAATTTAGGTCAATATAATAATTCTCTTGGTTATCATAATAATACAGGAAGAATATATTCATCATGGAAAATCCATGCAAATACACTTGGACTTAAATATGGTAAAGGTAATACAGTAGCAATGTATGTAACTTATTTTGGTGAACATCTTTCAACCGTACTTATTTTTTATGATAATTTTCCAATAGCTACAAGGTTTGTTTTATGAGAAAATAAGGACATCCAAAAGTATTTATTATTGGTTTCTTTTAGATATCATTTTGAAAGCAATAAAAATTGGTATCTTCCAACAATAACTTTTTCTGGTGGATCTGCTATTATTTCAGTTCTTTGGCCAGATGCTGTCCAACAATTACCTTCTATTGCTGACGTATGAAATTTATTTTAATGCTTTAGTTTAATTTGAATATTTATCTAGATATCTGTATCTCAATGGATTCGAGGACCGCTGAGTAGTTATAATGCACATACAGGTTATTTTGAAAATCGTGCAAAAGTAGAAGATCTACCAATTCAATCACCTATACCATTAAGTAAATCATTTTGTTATTTTATTGTTACACAAGAAGAACTTTCACCAACTGATGGAAAAGGTGCTAGTGTTGGATTAGCTACTTATTCAGTAAGATTCTATAAAATTAATTATAATGAAATGACTTATTTATTTTAGCCTTTAAAACCAACACCAACATGTTCATTAATGAAAGATTATTATACATGGTTTTCTAAAACGAGAAGTACATATTTTAATTTTCTCTAAGACATTTCATATGGTGTAGTAGACATATTAAATAAGTCTCACGCATGCGATATTGTTAATTTGGATTTCAAGATTTTGCACATAAGAAATCTAACTCTTTTCAAACCGAATTTTGGAGAATAACTTTCAAAAAATAGATCATACAGCCTCTATCATTGAGCCAAATAAACTAATGAAAGGGCTTATGAAAAAAAAAACAGAATAGTGATATTATCATTGTAACTGTACCAATAAGTTTTTACTAAAACGTAGGTTGATCTGAAAGACTACAT